TCACGTGTACATAGAGTTGTTATGAGCACAGTATGTAATAGTAGGAGAGAAAAGTGATGGAGTGGAGCACTACTCCCCATTATGTATCTTCGTAATCTCTAATAAAGAGAGTGTTTAATATGAAATCCGAGCGAGAATAAATCCAGTACTGATTCGTCTGCTGCAACTACGGCAAGTGGCGCAACTCACATGACCCGTATTTTTGAAGGCCGCTCTGGAGTAGAGTTACAAAAACGTACGATGTTATCGGATGTGGAATAGTATTATCTTTTTTAGCACTTGATGTGTTGATGTGAACCTCTGCAAGCCGTCCCTTACTTTTCAATACCTGAATCGGAGTTCACAGTCATAATAGGTGAAATAATACATGCATGCAAGTTCACGCAATTGACTAAGCAGTACACGCACTATTAAATCATAGTGCTTGTACTCATGTTCTGCCTGACATTATGTTTTAATAGTGTGCGTGCCGACACTTGAAGGACCCTAATTAGGAAGAATGGAAAAATGAAGGAATAAATATTCCATGTCATCAAGTCTAGAAAGCTTAGTTCCGGTGGTAGAAGTTTTGAAAGTATGAATTTTTATAAGGTAGCATCGAATTCCCTTTATGAAACAAAGCAAAGAACACTTGCTTTATAAATTTTATTATCTTTTCCTTCGAATTATTCTGCACACCAGTGTCTAATATGAATAATACCTAGATGCAATCACTATATTAAAGCCTTGTCACATAATATTTAATTCAACGAATCATGAAGTATTAAAATACACCAATCGGACGTATCCAACGACTTGGAATATTTAATTCTTATATAAAATATATTATGTGGCACAAAAAAATAAATAGGTTTTTATTAGGAATTAGTCGGTGCTGGAAAGACAGTCTAGTTTACGTACGTACATAAGCGCATATCTAATGTTAAATAACTTTTCAGGTATGTTATAGCGAAAAATCTTGTTATATTTTTTTTTTGCATTGTGCAATTTCCTATTTCCATATGTAAAAAGTAGTAAATACTAGGTAAATGGAAACCATTTAAGGTCCGAAGGACTTAAAATTGCTTTTTATAGTTGATCACGGATCAGTCCGACAATGGGTATTTTCGGAGCAAATGTTTGTTTTTATCAGATCAATCAATCAAAACCCTTAATTTGCGGACACACACACAACAGTGTCACTATGACTCTTCCGTAATGTCCTTCGGACAATGAAGTTACGATAATAATATCACGTGTACGGGTTTGGAACCCAGGATCCGGGTTTGAAACCCCAGGTCCGGGTTCGAAACTCAAGACCGGTTCGAAACCCTTGCACATCAAAATGTATAAATATAGCGCTTGTCTAGAAAATAAAGCAACTCTTCCCAACTCTTTCTGCTTGCACATTGATAACAAGTACCTAAGTGCGTAACCCGTAACGACCCAAACCGAACCCCAAGTAAATCGGAATACCTAACCCGTGACGACCTATTACGAATAAAGTTTAAATAAAGCGTCGATATCGATATAATCAAGTACAGCACAACCCTTACGACATATACCCTATTTGTTAGCCGTTACTAAATAAAGACCTGCCTGTACAACTTACCAACAAGTTTTATGCTTACGACGCTGGACTAAATTGGCCCAGAATTATAAAAGCTCTCCCAAAGTTGTGCTGTATGTGCAGAAAAATAATCATCAAAAAGGAAAAATTGTAATGAACTTGTACATGTCGTAAAACCTATTTCAGCATTGATTTTTGATATGAAACCGCCGAGTTACCACAGCGGTTTTATATTAAAAATCAATACCAAATGGTTTTTGTGTCATGTATTTAATGTATAGTAAACCGATTTTTGTCTTATTTATCTTCCGCTTGATCCAAACAACTACTTTTTTAAAAAAATCAAAAAATGCAAATTTAATAATTCAGATAAAGAAAAACGTAGTTTTATTGAAGTTATGCCAACATTCAACAAAGATAAAGATATTATTATTGATCCAAATAATGGAAGTGGAATGACATATCGTTTGACATATCGTTTCACATATATATTGTGCCTCATGCCTATTGTATAATGAACTCGAAAGTTTGAAATTTCATGATAGATCGGTATAAAAAGTGGCATGGGTTCTTAAGAAAACATAGTA